GGGGGGTTTGTCGGAAGGAGGCTTTGCCCCCCACCGGAAAGAGTGAATTTCATGCCACTGAGAGTTCTGCAGAGTGTGTTTAAAAAATTAGTGTGCAAGTATTACCTGTGTTGCCAACTTCACCTTCATCTTGCTGTATGATGTCAGCACAATGTGGTCCAACGTCAGTTGAGGGAGAGTGTGAAGAGCAAATTCCTGGTCGCTGTAAAATAGATCAGCAATGTGGGAAAACAGGAGGTAATTGCCATTGTTCCACATATAGCGGCTGCCAGACCCCAAGTTGTGGAGGCAGTTTCGAGCAGTCTTCATCAGATGGGGGGAGTCAGCAAAGAAATAAACGAAGTGTGATGTTGCAAAGACATTGGGTGTCTTGTAAACAACATCACACCTCAAATCTTTTGCCAGATTGACATGCAGGCGGAAGAACTTTCGGTTGGGCAAAGCACCATCATTCACAGCTGCACACACACATAACTGCAAAGATAGCTCTAATACAGATACTGCTTGCCAAAACAGTGTCATCAGTTGGAACGATGTCAGATCTCCAGTCAAGTAATATGAAATGACATGCTTCAAGTCGGTACACATTCCTCTTACCAGGAATGCCAGAGCATGAGTAGCCAAGGTTTCTTCTTCCACACATGCAAAGTTGACAATTGGATCCCCAAGATCAATAAAACCGATTAGATCCCCCGAGTATTTGTCAAAGACAAGATTGGATTGGATATTTATTTCATCCATTACCAGAGCCACGTATCTTTGCACTTCAGAAAAAGATTGGGTTTTTTCTCTTACGCATTCTATGTTCTCTATATTGATCCCGCCTTTGGCTTAAAATAATTCTTGTAATCCCTCAAGAGTCCGCTCACTGGGAAGTACAAGGGCTCCGTTATCTCTAAGTTCCCTGTATGCAGCTGGTGATTTGCCATGAATGGAAAGAGCAAATCTAATCATCTGTGGGTGATATCTCCTGCCCATCTTCTTCAACTGGAGGAGAGCCATTTGCTGTTGCCAAAAAAATTTCATATGGGGTGTTGCCTCTAGATTTTGCCCACTCATTATTTTGAGCAAGTCTGTCTGAGTTTATCACTGATTGCAACCCTGTCCTTTTCAATCTTATCTTGCAAGCTTTTGAACAACATCATGAAGCTGCTTATTTTCCAGTCTTGTAGCTTCCAATGTAACTCGAAGTTTTTCTTTTCCACATGCCAAAAGTGGTGCTTTACTTTTGGCTGGAATAGCAGCAGATTTCGACTTCTTCCTACTGGACGTTTTGATCGCATTCAGTGCACCTGAACACAGCTTACAAGGTTTATCACAGTTTGTATTGTTTTCCTGCAGAAGTGAACAGGCTACTGACCTGAATGAAACTGATACTTCAAACACTGCTTCATTATTGGTTACTAATTTTGGAAGAGAATGGCGAATTAATGTTCTTGGTATCCGAGCATCGTCTGCAGGATCCAACGCAATATCCTTGACCTCTGTAAGATCAGGTAATCCTTCGCATAATTGCACAGATTCAATTGATCGTAAGAGTTCTCCAATATTTTCAGGTCTCGCAGATCAAGCTCGTTCTTGGTATATCGTGTGTTCATCGGAGATAGGCCAATTATACACAAAAAGCGTAAACATAAAACCAGAGTCTATAATTATGGTGTACTTTGGAATTATGTGACAGCCATCAAGTAGTTCTAGCCTGAACTCACATTCATTCGTTTCATGTTCTACTTTCCAACTGCCAAGAACTTCATCTTTTTGCATATGTTTCCAGAACTTTTCCAGCGAGAGTGAACCTTTCTTTAGACTGGTTGATGTGCTAGGCTCGTCATCAGTTGAAGATCTCACTAAAACGCAATGCTTTTTAGTCTCAACTTTGTGACTCTTTGTTGGCAAGTTCTGCGTAGGTACGCTACCAGTGGCAAGAACCTTTCTTTTGGGATCTTAAAAAATAAAACAACTCTACATTATCATTTACAATCAATGACACGTATCAGTGCATGTATGTGAGCAGAGCAGTGACCCATGACGAGCAGAATAATACATGTTTAGACTAAAACGCCAACGAATAGTATAATAATTACTCACACGAAATGATACATTCAGGCTTAAAATGAAGGTCGCAAAAGATGTTGTTCACCTCAATTCGTTTTTTCAAATCAGCTGTGACTTGTCTTGTTCTCAACAGCAGACAAAGCTATTCTTCCCATCTGCAACACCAACAACTTATATCTTAAATAGAGAACACCCTTTGTGTGTTCTGCTAGTTGAACAGCCATACAATGCACAATTTTGACCGACCATACTTCAAAACTATCTTTTTAAGGCATGGCTACAATATATTATCGGTGAAGTTTGTAATTTAGGTCCAACAATGTCGAAAAATTGAAGATATTTGATACGCACACAACGTCAACAATATATCTGTTAACACTTTCCATAACAAGCGCCCCTTATCTTGTCACATGACGTTAATAAAGAGAGGACAATAACATATTTGTCACATGGTCCAGCTAGCCTAACCATCCCATTTCTATTAACCATGGTATAACTTGTGAATTCCACTAACCTTTGCACTATCAAATTGCAATAAAGGGTTTTTGTTCATGTTTATATTTGGAGTTTTTCTCGTCCAATCATTGCAACACTTCGTTTTCCCACAGTGAAGAGTTTACCATAGTGAAGAGTTTACCATCTACTCTCAGGTGCATTAATGCCTGGCTCCAATTTCGTAAGGGTGGGAAAATAGAAAAAATCTTTAAAAATTAATCAAGAATTAACAAAGTACACTACGACTCTTATTGTTGGGTGAGATGTTGGAAATCAACTGCCAATATTTTTCAACTATTTGGTTTCCATGGCAACTGGTCATGTGACAAGATATAGGCGGTGATAATGGAAATTAACTTAATGTTTAAAAACACAGCTTGCCGACTCACTAAACATTCATGGATATGTACAAAAATATTATCACGGAACCTTTTACTCTTATACTGCAATGTGGTAATTAGAAACTTAAATATTATGCCACTGATATGAAAATATTGCTGTGAATACAACAATGTCTCGCACAATGTCAATATAATTTGCACTAAAACGATTGTTCCAGATTACAATAATTACAAATCTAATTGTAGGACCAAAGTTGGCTGTACTCTGGACAAAATCTACGTATTAGCGACCAACAGTAACGTTGCCTTGCGAGTCTGCAAGTCCAACACGTTTTTTGTGATGAATTCACGCTCGCCATGATCATTAATACAGGCCCCTGCTGTGAAACAAAATATTATGAAATGCAAATACACAATGACTGATAAACCATTTGCACTTAGCAAGTAGTGTATTCAAATAATATGCGAGGAACAGAGAGAAAAATATGTACAGAAGTACAATATGATAAGTACATATTTTCGTTTATATATTGAGAGAATACTCGAGTCTTTATATGAAAGGATATTATATTTCAACAACATTTATTGCATCCTTAAGGGTTTTAAGAGAAATATGTCACACTTAAACATCACCATCCCAAAACAGTTTGAACCATCCATATGCTGGGTACTTATTTGTATTTCAAATATTTTTCTGTGAGTGGGAACCTAAAGAGGAATCACAAATCGTTGTTGAATAATTGAGACATAAAAACCCGCATTAGCGAGCTTTATATATCAAAGTTCAAAGGTCGCCGCATATCGCATATGATATATTATACTATACAACAGCCAATTGTACAAGAAAAACTGATAGTTTACTGATCCCTGCTGGTTGCTATAATCTAACATAATATAAAATAATCCAACAACTCATATTTATTAAATTTCAGTTTCATTTGAACACCAAAACGCACTCAAATGGTAACACGCTAGATATGTTTAATTGCGCGCGCAACTCGTGCGGACATATCAAGTCAAACGTGGGCCACAGAATAAAGATCAGTAACAGAAGAGCCACTCAGCGGTGCAACGTGTCCTCGTTTTTTTATGCAAAAATATGCAGTTTACTGGCCAGAAGGCGGAGCAGCCAGCCAGTACAGCATGTTTATTGACCAGAAAATGTCATTGACTGGCTAGGAAAATGGCGGCCAACATGCATAATGAGACATGCGCGAGGACAGAAACTTCAAAGCTTCCAACGTAAGTGGCCCTTCTATATGGATCTGTATTCTATGGTGGGCAGGGCCAGCAAGAGCCAAGCATCAATCGGTCTGAGCTATTGATATTAATTCTTTAAAAGTTTTTGGCTTCTTTATGCAAAGGCAATAATAGAAAAGAGTGTGAATTTTGTTTTCTTGTTTCAGTACGTTGATTCAGTTTATTTTATATACTGTCCGAATATTTGTTCTTTGAACTTTCACTTCATTTTAAACAATTTTAAGAACATTTTCTCACAAAATGTGATTGGTTGATCAAGGCAAGCGAACAAAATTTTTCAACTTTCAGCGCCTTGTCTATTTATATGTAGCTATATTTGTTTGGCATTGAAGGGAACTCATTTGATGAAAGTTTTATTGTTTGTTTTCGAGCTATATATAATAGGAAAAAAAGAAAGAAAAAAGCCAGAAAACTTAACGTCTAAGCACTGACTAAGCCTGTTAATGCCCAAAATGTTCGAGTCTGTAAAGTATTTTACTTAACCACATTGGATATTAACCACAAACACATACAATTTTATCACGCAAACAAACAGAAAATGTGTGGGACACCTACAAATTTGCAGTGGGGAAAAAGTGCAAACAATGTAGTTTCACCAGAAATCAAGGACAGAATCCGCGAACATATAAATTATTTGCCTCGTGTGGATTCCCACTACAATAGGGAGAACAAAAAAAAAGAATATTTGGCGGAAGGTCTTAATGTCACAATTCTTTATGAAGAGTATGTGAAACAGTGCTCCAGTAAAGGAGTCACACCTGGTAAAATCCATCTGTACCGACAAATATTCAATGACAAATTTAACATTGCCTTCCATGTACCCAAAAAGGATAGATGTGATACATGTGAGGCAATGAAAATTCAGAATAATCCAGCTGAAGAAGACCAACAAAATTTTGTAGCTCACCTAAGAGGGAAGGAGGAAACAAAGACTGAACGAGACAATGATCGAAAGGATAATAACAAATTTACAGTGTGTTTTGATTTGCAAAATGTGTTTGCCTTGCCAACAGCTGGAGTATCAAAATTTATCTACAAGAGAAAGCTTAATGTATACTTCATGACCATCCACTGTTCAGCAGATAAGAGAGGATATGGAGCATTGTGGCACGAAGGGCAAAGTGGTCGAACTGGGAATGACATGGCCAGTTCAGTTCCAAAGATCCCAGAAGCTGTTGTTGAAGAAAATTCAGATGATCCAAGAGTAAAGAACATCACTTTATGGAGTGATTCTTGCATTCCTCAAAATCGAAACAGTTTTTTTTTCTACTGCTATGAAAATGTTCCTCAAAAATCATCCTGAGATTGTGTCGATAGAACACAAGTATTGTGAGCCTGGCCATTCTTCTGTTCAAGAAGTGGACAATCTTCACAGTCAGATTGAGGCTGTGTGTCGCCATACTGAAATATACAGCCCTGTTGGATTGATGCGGATGTTAAAGAAAGTCCACAGAAGCAAGCCAATGAAGATCATCCAGATCATCCAGATGAAGTCACAAGATTTCAAGGATTTTGGTTCCATTGCTCGTCAAGGAAAGTATGACAGGATGCCATTCACCAGGTGGAACCCAAGATCCTTGGCTACAAGACTAACTTTTCAGAAGAATTGGTTACGAAGAATGTGCTGGAGCCCAAGTTGACAAGAAACAAGGTCAAGAGCAATGTTCTCTATCAAGTAGCTGACCCCGTCATTGCTAGAGCTGGTGAAGGTCTTAGCCAGGCTAAGAAAGCAGACATAAGATCAATGCTGAAATTTATGCCTGCCTGTGACAGAGTTAATGTGACTTCTTGTGTAAAAGTAATTAATATTTCTTTTAGATATACAAAAGTCATGACAGTAATGCTATTTAAACTTTGTGCCAGGGTATATTAGGAATAATGATATTACAAGAACAAGTACAGTACATTATGAACCTTTTAACTGATTTTTTAAAATATATATAATTATGTGTAAATTAGAGCTAAATAGAAAGTAATCAACTTTTTTTTATATTATTAATATACTTACAATCCTCATAGTTTTAAAATGTAGTAAGATTTGTACCGAAACTACCCAGAAAATCAATGGAATAGTAGATTATCAAAATTTGAACTGATGTTTCCAATGTTGACAAGTTGAAATGAGCGCAGACTTGTTTTTAAACATTCAGAATTAACTAATTTTAGATAGACCTTTGTAACTCTAATTTTTCAAAAGAGTCACAAAGGTCTATCTCCAAAAGTAGTACCGCTATTTCCCATAATTCATGCTGGGTAGCAAGGAACAAATAACTGTAATTAAACAACCTAGTGTATAGTATGTAGTAGATCAAAACATTTTGAAATTAAATTGTACTCTATTCCTTTTATGAGCATACCAACTTTCATTTACCTATTTCTCTAAACTAGTTAAAGAGCAGATAGACCTTGTTAACCCTCAGCTGACGACTGGTCTGCATAAAATTTGGCAAAGCCATGGCATTATTTAATGGGCTTTGGTGTACGTCAAGAGCAAGAGAAGTGACATTAAGTAAAGTAAGTAAGTAAAAGTAAGTTCCATGTTTATTTAATAATGTAAAAAAAGGGACTTCTAAACAGTATTTGTCCATTTCTACCACAATAGCAATCATTTTTATATAAAATACACAAGTGTTTTGTCTTCAAACTTCGAGTTTATCTGCCGGATAGTGGATTTAAACTACCTCCGGACCTTGGATAAATTTATCCAACAGATAGTGCATTTTTATCTGTTGGATAGCGCTATCCAAGCTTTGTACAGTGTGATTTTCATTCTGGATAAAATTTATCTGCTGGATAGAGACTAGAATAGTGAGTTATCCACCTTTCGTACAATCGGCCCCTGAATGAAAATTTCCAACCTGAGTCGATGACTCGTCGGTTGTTTGTCGAAAACCGAACACTGAATCTGAAATTTTTATGTTGTAGGTATTGTTCATTGACAAAACATGCACATATGAAGAGGGCTTTTGTCTTGATCCGTTTTTGTCTTTGTCTGATGTCAGAATTTTACTATAACCAATAATAACCAAACTTGAATCTACGATAGCTTTACTAAATATAACTTGATAATGGTACATGCAGTGAATGACGTGGGATGCAACCAGAACTGCATTGTTATATAAACATTTTCGCCATATTAAACAGTTTTACTAAAAGTTTGAATATTTTAGTCAAATATTTAACTCACCTAGCTGATAGTGAAATTTAATTTGGCTTAAATTATTGGCAATGCTTCTATACTATATGTACTTGTTATTTTTATTGCAAAAATGTAAACTGAACTCAAAATAGTAAAAACAAAGATAAAGTAGATGTTTTCATCTATATATTACTAATTAAAATAATGTATTTTCGGAATATTATAAGACCCATATAAGAATATTGCAATATTTACATTAATCGTTACTATTTAACAATTATTCGCCAAAGGCGAAGTGATTACCGGTGAATATTCACCGAGACGAAGTCAAGGTGAATGCTCACTGTAATCACCGAGCCTGAGGGGAATAATTGTTTTAGTATAAATTTTTAATGAATAAAACAAAATATCCGAATATCAGTTCAATTAAATTTCAGAAATAAAACTGTTTTCGGCCTGTTCACTAATAGTATTGCAGTGTTTCTTGTACGAACACACTTTCAAAATGGCTTCTTGTGTGACTTTATCACTTTATTACAAAGTTGTTTTTCTCAATTTCTGCTTGGAATATAAACACAATAACGGAATGACTAGTTTCTGTTTAGCATTAATTTCTTCAGGAAATGGCTGAGGAATTTGGTAAAATGAAATGTAAAACTATATCATTCGAAATAAAGTTTTAATAAACCGCTTACGTTACAAGTTTCGAAAACACAATACAGCGGTCTGAACAACATACAGCACAATGAAAACATGACATATCAAAAGAAATAGTATCGTACAAATTGGGAAATCTATAGCATACAAAATAAAATGGATTTTAAATAATATCACGGCAAGGTTTTTCCCAAAAGTCGGGATGGTTTTGCTATTCGGAGTTTTAAAGAAGTCTTAAATTGTCCATGAATATGTTTGACATAGTAAAATAATAAAGGAATACTACCTTTCAAGTTAAATACAACGTTTTGTGCTTCTTTCGTTTTCTGGGGATGATTTTTTCAATATTTTGTCCGATTTTGAAACCAAATTTGCAGAATCAGTCTTTTTGAAAAGCATTATTTACTACCCAGGTGGTAAATGCCTCAGATTTACTAGTCAGCTAGCCAATCAGAATGCACGAAAGCTCATTTGATATGCAAAATTTATACTAATACTGTATATTCACACTTCACATTTTACAACTCGATGTATGTCCTCCACAATCTACTACAATTGGCAAAACGTTTATTACATGATTAATGTATCTTTTGCATTTTCCAACAGTCATTGCTTGAGCCCCAAATTGGGTATTGCTGTCAACTAAAGCTTCCTTTGTTCTTGGTTTGACAATTGTTTTTAGATGATGCTTAATTAAGTTCATGCCACACAAGTTTGATGGTGCTGAGGTCTGGACTCTCTGGCAGTGTTTTCCACCAATTTACCACTTCTTCCTTGAATAAGGATTTTGCTAGGTTTTTCATATGCTTCTGATCGTTATCTTGTTGAAAACGATGGCTGTTTGGGAAATGCGTTGAGATGAATGGCAGCAAAGTTTTTCTCAAGATCGTTTCTACAAAAAAATATGGCATCCATGCATCCAGTGAAAATTGTTACCCTGGTTGCTCCACGCTTAGAAATGCCAGCCCAAATGTGGACCTTATATGGATGCTTTGGTACTCCCTTTTGTCTCAGCGGTTCCCACCAACGATGAAAAGTTATTTTTCCATGTCACTCGATTTCGATTTAACTTTCGTCTGTAAAAATGATGTTGAATTTATCTTTGTTATTCAAACATCTTTGCACAAATTCTAGTCGCTTGGGTTGATTAACGTTTTTCACAAGTTGGCAGTATTTTGACCCTAAGTTTATTTTACTTGTATCCCCATGAGATACCACATTTTAAAAAAAATCTGGATAGCAGTTAATTTAATGTTTTAGTAGTCTCCCACATTTTTGTTCATTAAATAGTGCTGTAACACAAGTCTAGCATTCGTCATAACGTTGTATTTATGTAGTCCACTCTGGCTACTCACACTGATTGAATTTGCGAGACGCCATTTTGAATAGTGTTTCCACGTTGAAACAACTGTCCAGTCATCCAGATTTCATTGAAAAGAATTTTTTTGAAGTTAATTAAGAAAAGTCATGAAGATTGTAAGGAAATTTGAAGGTCGATATAGTTAGCAAAGTGGATAGCAAATACATTTTTTTGCTTCCCATCATAAACTAAAAATACTCATAAATAATTCATGCTTTCTTGTGATATTATATTAAAATATTTAATTAAAACCACCAAAACTCCTGATGATGATACAGGCAATGGTCTTGATGATGATACAGCCAATGATGTTAATAATGACATTGCACTTAAGACTGTAATAATTAAATAACTGTATAAGTTCCTTTTAGGATTCTAGTATACAAAATGTGATGGATGAAAATGCTTGACTAAGAGAAAACCTTAGAGTGATGTTGGGTTTGGCCCTGGGATACGAAAATCCAACTAGTTAAATATCCAGATTTGGTATACTGGATTATTGGGAGGGATACCAAAGTTCAAAACCTTGGTATCCATGTGGATACTTAAAAAATATCAAATTTCAGACCCTGACATGGCGCTTATACTTTTTGAACAAGGGAAGGTGCTAAACACATGAGAATTGCAAGAAAACGTTTATTATTTTCGCTTTGATTAAAGTTTTTACTAAATCTGTACGACTTGTTTCATATTTCCACTGCGTCTTGGGCTTCTATGAGTGAGTGTGGTTGATATATTCAACATGGCATACAGAGTTCACTGAAGCAGGGAAGGAGTTTGATTCATAGGAGTCAGGAACAAATTTTTAATATTTTGCAATATAAAGGTGAGTACTGCATTAAATTATTTTCAAGGTAAGCAACACATTGTGACTTATAGTTTCCCTAAAAATTACAACAATCGGTTTAATTCTGGCAACTCGAGAGACAAAAATGGTGCATTGCTAACTATTGTTAAAATATCATGTAGACAAACTATAAACAGTAGCCATGGCAGGGAACATATTATAGACAATGAGACTACTAAAACAACCCAACTATCTGAACAACAAACGACTGACATTGATGCACAAGAGTCAACAAAAAAAAATTAAAAACTGAACATGCTGAATTGAAAAGAAAATATGATCAGTTATCATCTAAATACGAACAGTGTGTACTGCGAATAGAACATGTACTTGCCAGTGATAAAAATTTTAAATTCTACACAGGCTTTCAAAATTATGCAACATTTAAAGTTTTCTTTGACTTTCTGCAACCGGCATGTAATTTCTTAACTTATGCTGGTTCAAGTAACAATGCTGGGGCAAAAAAGGTCAATGTCGCCAGAGCAAGAGTTGTTTATGGTTCTGGTTCACCTACGTTGTGGTCTTATGGGGGTTGACTTGCTCACCGATTTGGCATTTCAGAAGCACTTGTTTCCCATATATGGGCTACTTGGTTAGAGTTTCTCTATCATGAGTTAAGAGCCCTACCCATCTGGGCATCACATGATTATATACAACAAACTCTGCCATAGCCTTTCAAAGAAACCTACCCAAATAACCATGTAATTATTGATTGTTCAGAACTACTTATTGAAATGCCAACATCATTTAGGAGTCAGGCGGCAACATTTTC